TTCGCGGCCGAGAACCCTACTCGGCTGTAGACACAACTGCAAACCCACATAACAAGACCAAAACCCTATCAAGACATATACATATAGATGCCTAGCCCAAACCAACAAAATGTGACCTAACAGGGGAGCTAGTCCTCTTCTAGATCTCCTTGTCTTCTTCAAGTCTAATGAACCTCAATGCTTTACTTCTGACTTCGTCCATTTTCCTACATGGATCCATTACGATGTAACGTCCCAAAAACAATGATAAAAATTTCATTTGGAAGTTTATCAATTCATTCATAAATTGTTCAAAATAACGCAACCAGTTATAATATTCAAAACATCAGAGTACAATTATTCGAAATGCAGAAATCATGAGGGGAGGATGATGTGCCATCACGTCAAGCCCTTCCCTTTCGAACCATAAGTACTTGAAAACAAAAACAAAACTGTAAGCATAAAGCTTAGTGAGTTCCCAAAAGTACCACATACCACACACAAGATAACGAATGCTATGGGACGAATCATAGTTGTTGGGTCTAAATTATGGTTTATACTTTGCTTTTCTAGGAAATTATAATTTTCTGTCTAGGACTGAAAACTATTCACGGCCCAGGTGGTGTTTACGGTCGTGAACTGGTTCACGACCGTGAACCCATTCACGGCCCATGTCTACTATATATTGTATTAGTGGTGAGAAGTGCATGGGGGTGAGAGCATATTGTAGTAAGAGAAAGTTAGAGAGAAGAGAGGAGCTTAAGTGTGTGAAAGTTGTGTGTGAATCTTGTATTTGGATCTTCATTCTAATCAAATCATACAAGATTCATCATCTTCTTCTTCTCCTTCTTCTTCATTAGATCTGGCATCATCTGTTTGATCGGGATTCCGCACCATCAAACGGATCTGATTGATTCACAAGCAGATTTGGGACTTACAAGTAGTATCAGAGCTTGGATTGTATTAATCAATTTTGTCAGATCTGGAGCTTATTTGATCTTATTTTTGAAGGATTTTTGCATTTTTGGATAGATCTCTGAAAATTAAGGGGGGTTTGTTCTTTGTATTTTTGATAAAAACGTGTTTTGGAGCAAAAACGGTGAAAAACGTCATTTTTCTTCACATCTGTTGAAGGGTGTACGACCTTTGAATGATGTACGGCCCAAGAAGGGTTTACAGCCCGAAGTTCGTTTACGGCCCTCGAAGTTTACGTCCAGCCTCGCACGTCTTCGGTCACAAGTGTTCCGTCACGTGTTTGGTCAGACGGGTTTACGGCTCAGCAGTCTACGGTCCTTGGAGTTCACGGCTCATCCTCGTCCTCGCATTGCAATCTCGGTCGCGCAGCTCATCCTCGCACATCCTTGCACCCTCGCATGCGCATCTGAAAAAATAGGAAACAAAATTGGGGGTGCCGGGGATCGAACCCGGGTCTCCTATTCTCTCCTCCTTGGCGTCTTACCAGTTGGGCTAGGCTGAATCTTGTTACAAGCCTTCGAATTTTAACTCAAATATTATACCTTCGGTTCCTACTTTCGCATTTTAACACTTTTAGCCCAAAAACCAATTTCTTTTATTATTAAATTTTATTTTCAACCCAAAATTGTAGCTTTTAATTTTTAACTTTTAATTTTGACTTTTTCCTAAAAATTTTGACTTTGACTTTTAAAGTTTGACCTTTGACTTTAAACTTTGATTTTTTCGTTTAACTTTTAAATTTTCAAATTTAGCTTTTCGGTTTGACTTTTAAGTTTGACTTTTCAAGTTTGACTTTAAAGTTTGACTTTTTAAATTTGACTTTTAAGGTTGACTTTTGAGGTTTCAAGTCAAAGGGCATTTTTGGTAAACAATGAGTTCCTCAAACATCAAAGTCAATGAAGTTTCCTTGGAGAATTTACGTGTGCATTACGAATTATTACGTAGAGAAAATGAGGATCTAAAATATGAAAGGTACACTATTAGGAAAGAACAAAAACCATTAAAAGAAAAATTAGAGTCCAAAATTAAAGATTTCAAGAAACTGCAAGAAGATTACAGCAACAAGTGTGAGAATTATGATCACATCAAAAATAAACTTTCTGTTGTAACTGAAGAACTTGACACTTTGAAAATTAAGTGTGCAAAAATAGATGTTAGTTTCAAAAATTATACTGCGTCAAGTAAGACAGTCGAGTCCTTAGTTGAAAAACAATTGAGTTTTAAAGATAATCAAACCAAGGGTCTAGGGTATGATAAAGTTCATCCTCCTTTTAATCACACTTATCAGTTTAACCCTTTAACCAAAGAAGAAATTGAAAATGAAGCACACCTTAAGTATGACCAACCCCCTGCTTCAGCTTCAGTTAAGACTGAACAATCAGCGCCAACTGAGGGTGCTGAGATGAACAAAAAGAACACTTTTGAACAATCCAATGACTCCTTGAACTCTGAATCTGTTGCTTTTAACTCAGTTACTCCTAACAAACATGCGGTTGAGAAATACAGGCCACCAATTCTAGTGAAACAACTTCCCTACTATGCACAAGGGTGGCAAAACGCGTCAAGAGGGAGATTTTTCAAAAGAAACCCCTCAAGGTCACGTTCAGACAATGGCGACTAGAATGCCACGAAGGGCAAGAGTTCAACTCCCAAGGCCAAGAAATCAACTCCCAAGGGCAAGAAGGGAATGCCGGCCTAGAAGCCAATTTCAAGAAATGATCCAACGAAACCTAAACCGGCTAGGTCAAAGTCATCTCAACAGCAGACCTCAAGTTCATAATCAAGTGCCGAGGCACCCATCCGCTCGAAAAAGAAATGGGTTAAACCCGACTACAGATGGGTACCAAAGGTTCAATCTCCCAAATCATCTAATGCGTCTAATATTTCATCATCTTTTGTTTGTGATAAACATGATATGTCATGGGAGAGAGTTCCTTGCACAGATGACAAAGGTCAACCCAGTTTCAAACTGGACTGGGTTCTAAAGACCAACTAATCCCGCTATGTGTTGGAGCAGCTATGGAGTAATATCATCAGACTTCGGTTTGTTGGTAGTGGCTATTCCAGGCACATGATAGGAGGCATTTCTCAACTGTACAACATTCAGAACATTGTTTGAGAGTATGTGTCCTTTGCGGGAAAGGAAGAAAGGAAGGGATCACTCATGGGGTTAGTGCTTAACGATGTGAAGAATTTTCGGATCTGTTCTGAGATTATGCGTGCTGTTCTCAGACCTTCTGGATGCAAATTCAATCGGTGACTTACGGTTTGATTTTTCTTCTCGATACTCCTAAGTTTATCTTAGACTGTTTCATTTCAAAGACTTTTTTCTTTAATTTCCTTGTATGTCTTTCTTTAGTAGGTTGTTTTGGGAAGTGATATGAAGTATAGTGCAAAAGAGCAATTTATGATGCGTGTAATGCACTAAAGCCGAATTGTCTAGACTATGTATTCAATGTGCTGGTAGGCACAAAGGATTCAAAAGGACTTGACTCAGTTTGAAAAATTGAAAGGACTTGACTAATATGAACTTAGATAGTTTCATTTGGACTGACCATACGACGCTCCGGTAGATTGAGCAGTGAGATAAACATGGGAGCCTGTGAGATACACTAAAAGTTAATTATCTAGAACTGTGGCTGAACATTTCCTTGATGTATAGACTCATGTCCTTAATTCCGGTATTGATAGGGCAACTGGGGGGTTCTGATAAAGTAGGTCTGTAGGAAATAATTTTCTTGCGTTTTATCTGTTAGTCATATGTTGCTTCCTTTGTGTGATTGGAACATATCCGACCTGGAATGCAATATATGCAACACTATCTCTATGCATTTCCATATCTATGAAATTCTTTCTATCTGTTAGCCATATGCTGTTCCCTCTGCGTGATCGGAAGATCCGACCTGGGACACAGCATATGCACTCTACTATCTTTCTAAACCCCTATCTATGTTAGTCCTATGTTGTTCCCTCTGTGTGATTGGAAGACATCCGACCTGGGATACAACATATGCACTTCTATATCTGACTTTTTTCTTAATGATTGAATACTCACCTAAAGTAAGGAGTTCTTTGGAAGTTCTTGATTACCGGGGTATATCGTGAAGTGGGAAACATGTTCTAGTACATCTAGAATTGAACCATTTAATAGGTTGTCTATAGATCTTGCTGCTTGATTTAAGTGGACAACAATATCCTTGGTCGTCGTCAGCTAAATGTCCATTTAGGAATATATATCACAATGACTCGTCACCTATAATCTGTCCAAATTGTCAACATCCTTTGTGTTTAAGTGGACCACAATACCGGTGATTGACCAGATCTTGACACGCAGGCGTGTGCTGATAAACGATATTGGATTGCTTGACAACTTTGATCCCAAATATTTTTGTTTTTGTTAAATTTGTTCATAGTTTTCCTCTATGCACAAATTTAGGGGGAGAATTAAAAAAATTCAAAAAATCAAACAAAAATCAGAAAAATTCAAAAAAAATCAAAAGAATCAAACAAAAATCAGAAAAATTAAAAAAATCCAAAAAATAATGTTATTTCTGTTTTATTCTTTCTTCGGAAAATCAAACAATCCAAAAATATTTTTGCTTCTGTTTTATTTTTTTTAGAAAATATAAAAAATGCAAAAATATTGTGTGCTAAGTTTTCTTTTAGTTTTGTTTTGTCTTGAAAAGTGAATTCAGATGTAGACGAGACTCATGGAGACTGTATCAAAAATATCTAAGCCAAGGCTTCATCCGTGATCATCGAAGAATTCTCATTCGAAGGAGCAAGAAATGAAGATTATTCTTTAAACATTCAATCCTTCAACCCCAAAAGCAAGGTGAAGCTGACTTGAAGATTATGTGACAGATTGTATTGAAGACTCCTCAATCAATTTGCTGCTATTCTTGAACCTGCTGAAGTGATCCAGAAGATTTGATCTCTCTATTGTTCTCTCTGAAGATTCTGAAGCTGAAAGCGCCATCTTTTAAGAATCTTTTCAAGAAGCAGCCCTTTGTTCCAACGCCGCATAATCAAGACCGGGAGAGAAGATGAAGTTTAATATTGCCAATCCCACCACCAGGTGTCAGAAGAAACTCGAGATTGATGATGATCAAAAACTCCGTGCATTCTACGACAAGAGGATCTCACAGGAAGTTAATGGAGATGCTCTTGGGGAGGAATTCAAAGGCTATGTTTTCAAAATCATGGGAGGATGCGACAAACAAGGATTTCCAATGAAACAAGGAGTGTTAACTCCTGGCAGAGTTCGCCTTCTTCTTGTGAGAGGAACACCCTGCTTTCGTGGGTATGGAAGGAGGAATAGTGAAAGGAGAAGAAAGTCTGTACGTGGTTGTATAGTGAGCCAAGATCTTTCTGTTTTGAATCTAGTTATTGTCAAGAAGGGTGACAATGATCTTCCTGGATTGACCGATGTTGAAAAACCTAGAATGAGAGGTCCAAAAAGGGCATCTAAAATCCGTAAACTTTTCAATCTTTCAAAAGAAGATGATGTTAGGAAGTATGTCAACACATATAGAAGAACATTCACAAACAAAGATGGAAAGGAGGTTAGTAAAGCACCAAAGATACAGAGATTGGTGACTCCATTGACATTGCAAACGAAACGAGCAAGAATTGCAGATAAAAAGAAGAGGATTGCAAAAGCAAAATCTGAGGCAACTGAATACTAGAAACTTCTTGCTTCCATATTGAAGGAGCAGAGAGAGAAGCGTAGTGAGAGCATATTGTAGAGAGAGAAAGTTAGAGAGAAGAGAGGAGCTTAAGTGTGTGTAAGTTGTGTGTGGATCTTGTATTTGGATCTTCATTCTAATCAAATCATACAAGATTGATCATCTTCTTCTTCTCGTTCTTCTTCATTAGATCTGGCATCATCCGTTTGATCAGGATTCCGCACCATCAAACAGATCTGATTGATTCACAAGCAGATTTGGGAATTAAAAAAATTTAGGGGGATTCCTCTATGCACAAATTTAGGGGGAGAATTAAAAAATTCAAAAAATCAAACAAAAATCAGAAAAATTCAAAAAAATTCAAAAAAATAAAACAAAAATCAGAATAATTAAAAAAAATAAAAAAATAAAAAAACAAATTAAAAAAATTAAAAAATCCAAAAAATAGTGTTATTTCTGTTTTATTTTTTGTTCAGAAAATCAAAAATCCAAAAATATTTTTGCTTCTGTTTTTTTTTTCCAGAAAATATAAAAAACCCAAAAATATTGTGTGTTAAGTTTTCTTTTAGTTTTGTTTTGTCTTGAAAAGTGAATTCAGATGTAGACGAGACTCATGGAGACTGTATCAAAAATTTCTGAGCCAAGGCTTCATCCGTGATCATCGAATAATTCTCATTCGATGGAGCAAGAAATGAAGATTATTCTTTAAACATTCAATCCTTCAACCCCAGAAGAAAGGTGAAGCTGACTTGAAGATTATGTGACAGATTGTATTGAAGTCTCCTCAATCAATTTGCTGTTATTCTTGTACCTGCTGAAGTGATCCAGAAGATTAGATCTCTCTATTGTTCTCTTTGAAGATTCTCAAGCTGAAAGCGCCATCTTTCAAGAATCTTTTCAAGAAGCCTCCTCACCCAACGTGCGTTCAAAGTCAAATTTTGAAGAAAAGCCCAACTACTCAAGATGAAGTCATTCATTGAAGATTCATCATGTTCATGTTGAAGCTGTGAAGAAATCGAAGATAAATGCTGAAGCCAAGATCCCAATGAAGATTGACAAGAAAAGACAGCTACTTTTTAGGGGGAGCTTGTTGGGTCAATTAGAAAAGAAAGCTATAAACCAAGGGGGAGATTGTTGGGTCTAAATTATGGTTTATACTTTGCTTTTCTTGGAAATTGTAATTTTCTGTCTAGGACTGAAAACTATTCATGGCCCAGATGGTGTTTACGGTCGTGAAGTGGTTCATGGCCGTGAACCCATTCACGGCCCATGTCTACTATATATTGTATTAATGGTGAGGAGTGCATGGGGGTGAGAGCATATTGTAGAGAGAGAAAGTTAGAGAGAAGAGAGGAGCTTAAGTGTGTGTAAGTTGTGTGTGAATCTTGTATTTGGATCTTCATTCTAATCAAATCATACAAGATTCATCATCTTCTTCTTCTCTTTCTTCTTCATTAGATCTGGCATCATCCGTTTGATCGGGATTCCGCACCATCAAACGGATCTGATTGATTCACATGCAGATTTGGGACTTACAATAGTCTTGCAGTCACTTTCTGCCATGGGCCAAATAATGGTATTTCCTTGCAATGCCGAGGGCCAAATACGTATCTTTCATACAAATGCCAGGGGCCAGATCCTGGTCTTTCATACAATTGTAAGGGGCCAGATCCTGGTCTTTCATACAATTGCCAAGGGACAGATCCTGGTCTTTCGTGCAGTATCACAAAAACAATTAGCATTCTACACAACAAAGTAATGAGGAGACCCATGGATCTAATGAGGAGACTCACCTCCAAAATAAGATAACCGAGCCACACAGTCGAGCTGCTGCTAACACGACTCCTCACTCTAATTAATTCCCAAATATAACCCTAACCAATAATCCAAGTTTTTAAACCCATAATAACTAGTCCAAAAATCCCAATATCCTAATTAGGGGAAAAAGGTCATTTTCCCTTCCCATTCGGCCCAACAAGAAAAGCCCAACACCTAATGTCCAAGGCCCAAGGCCCAAAAGCTGGAACTAGGCCGTACTCCCCATGTACCACCTTGTACGCCCCACGTACAACGACTGATGCAAGAGGAAAATCAGGGTCGAGGTGTAGTACGCGTAGTGTGACATCCGTCAAATGTTGGTCAACAAAAGTCAACTGAAGCATAAATTAGGTTAAAATAGTGAAATGTAATTTTCATAACCTTCTTAATGTATTATCGGGTATTATATTATTACATACGACATTTTAAATCAATTATCGAGTAAGCGCTTTAATTAAGTTTAAATAGCTTATTGGTGGCTTGAAACTGAATAAAACACACATATATTATTTTGGTATAAATAATATTAATGACACGATGAAAACTTGTTCATAAAACCATTGAAACATAGAACGAAACTAGACCTAGTATGTGGCTTCATACTCTGGTGGTTTTGTCCTGAAAAAGAGGTCATTCAATCAAGGAAAACATAAGTTATCACGTTTTAACACTCATATTATTATATAACAGATTTTTAAATAGTCAAATTATAACGTATTAATATTATTATTAATAATATTAAATAACATCATTTTTATTAGTTATTAAACCATACAAATTTCTCATATTACAACACACTTCTATAAAAATGGCAATTCTTTATAAAAGGGGGCTAGGTTTTTTTAAAAACTATAAGAAGACAAATCATGTCTCTTCTTTTACAACATAATCCACCATATCCCAACATCATCATTATATTCTAATGTTATAAAAATGAAAAAGCCTTACCATGAATTTTTATATTTAAAACACCATACTTCATTTTATTAAATAAGGAACCTTACCTTGATTATTTTAATCAAAAGGCACCACCTCTTCCTTTCCCCATGCAGCCCACCCCTCCTCCTACAAAAATCAGCAAAGAGGCCCTTGCCCCTCTCTCTTTAAACCTTCAAACTCATTCTCATAATCTCTAAACTCTCCAAGAAACATTCTAGCTAATTCAAGACTCTTTGGCAAGTGTTTTGCAAGACTTTTTAGTAAGTTTCCATTCATATATTCGAGATCCTTCTCCATTCTATCATCATGTTCTAGTTGTCTCATTTTCACTCTTGGAACAAAAAGCCTAGGCAAGATCTTGAAGTTTCAAGAAGGTGTCACTTGATTTTTACCTCATCTTCATACCATCTTCTAGGGAAAGCATAAAAGGTAATTTCATACCCCCTTTTCTACCAGTTTTCACTCATTTTACACTTTCGGGGGAGGTTACATGCCATGCAAACAAAATACATTTGGAAAATGACTTTACACAAAGGTCCTGGATCTAATATATTTTGGATAAAACTTTTAACCTTTGTGTAATACTATTACATGCATGTGTATGTTCCATTTATGAAAATATATACATGTATTCATATTTTTGAAGAAAGCACACAAGTCTCATTCCTTCATATGCACAAGTTTCTAATATTAGATCAATTGTTTGGTGGATAATACCTTTATCCATTGGATAATATTATTACACATTGGATAAACACAAACTAATATTTTTACCAAAAGTCTAGTTTTGAAAGATTAAAACTTTGTGTTCACACTTTTTATAAGTTTAGAAGTTATAGGAACTTTTCTCTTATAAATGATTTCAGATTCATACTGCCCACAAACATTTTTCTTTTACGCCGAATGTGTACAAATACAAAACTTTTTAGAAGGCAGAGATGCGATTTTCACATGAGGAAAAACATCAGATTTTTCTACAACTAAACTCTTATGAACTCACCAACTTTATGTTGACTTTTAAAATGGAATGTAATCTCAGGAAACAATTAAGCTCGGATCAGTAAAGCTACTTTTGAAGACAAGACACCAAATATCATTACGGGAACTACTTTAATTGATAACATGCAATATCTTGTAATGTATTTTGATACTATGTAACATTTGGGTCATGTAACTGATATAATCATATGGTATGATGGTTGCTTATGTACTTGTGTTTCAATGTATACAATTATTGTGATACTGTGTTCTCGTTCCACCCCCGAACGTTTCCTCCATTTGGTCTGGGGGTGTGACATGCAGCGTACATGTTTTTACGCCCGACGTACGCACCCTAGGTCAGAAATCCCATTAAGGTCTTAATGCCTTAAGATGTTATCTCTAAACTTCAGATCTAAGCTTATTAAAACCTCTAAGGCCATTAAGTTGCAATCTTTATGCCTTTGCATGGATAGAAAGAGCCCAACACTAAAAACTTTACTTATTCAATCATATTGCTACACTATAAATATTGCATGGGGAAAAACCAAGATCCAAGCTTGCATTTAATGACTTAAAATACCCTAAAATATATGAAAGGACAACGTAAAGGCTTTGGAGTACCTCATACTCACAAAGACCTTGGTTTTAGGACAAAACAGATAAAAATCTAAGCTTAACCAAGATCTAGAGAAACATGAATCAAGGTTAGAGCTTTATACCTCCAAATGGTGCATAATGAAGAGAAAATGTAGGATCCAAGGATTTGAGAGCAAAACCACTTCTTTGGTGATCTTCCTTCACAAAAAATAATGCCCACAACTCACTCAAAAGCTCAAAAATGGTCAAAATGGGTTTAGGTTTGAATGGGGATCAATATGAGGGATAGAGGCTGAAGAGAAGAAGGGTTTTAGGGATATAAGGGTGTTTAAATAGTGCGCAAACCCTAAATATTAGGGTTTGGTCCAAGCCACGTACGCCCTGCGTACAAGTGTACGCTCAGCATACTCGCGCAAGACCAGGTACACCCAGCATACCAACATGTACACCCAACATACTCATGGTGCCTCCAAAAATCCGAAAATGCCATAAAGGGCCACTTTGCAAATAATAATCATATACTAAGCGGAAAAAGGGTAAATACCTGGAAGAGCAAGATTTTACAACTCTTGCCCACTTGAACTAGACTTTGTCCTCGAAGTACACTTTCGCGAATAAATCAAGGTAGTGGTATCGCATCTCCGCCTCAGGCTCCCACGTCCATT